AATGATGTGAAATGATGGAGCTAGAAGTAAACGATAAAGTCCTTATAAAGAGTCATGTGAACATTATATGATGTATGGAGTACATGTTCTAATGATGTGAAATGATGGAGCTAGAAGTAAACGATAAAGTCCTTATAAAGAGCCATGTGAACATTATATGATGTATGGAGTACATGTTCTAATGATGTGAAATGATATAGCTAGAAGTAATCAGTAATTAGAAGTAATCTAAAGTGCCGTACAAAAATTACTGGGCTTTAGATATTTTTTATAGTCCAGATATAACTGTAATTAAATTAAAACAGAATGATATATATATATGGTGTATGATCACAATGAAAACGTTAACAGATTCTTATCATTGCATAATTAAATTTGCTGGTGGTAAATAAGAAGTAAAATTTAAGCAGTTGAATTGTTTGGCTTTCCTCTAAGTTTCATGATATGTAAGCACTCGGAGAAGACTAAATTACTAGAAGCATGGAAATAGTTTGGTAATAATATTTTATTTACTTCCTTCATCGGTTAATAGTTTTGTTTCAACCTGTAGAGTACATAGAGCAGATGAAAATATCCGTTTACCGGGAGATGTCTTGTTGAATACGTCACTGCTTTTGGACACTCTTCTGTCAGAGGAAAAGTACGACAGGAAACTTCGCCCAGAATTTGGGGGTAAGTCATGAGCTTTAAGTAGTAGTAATTGTAGAATTTTCGGTGTGTATGATATTTCGATTGGAATCATTTTTCACCAAGAAAGGAAACTTATAACAGAAAATGTAAAACCTGTGACTTAGATTTAAAGGTTGACTTTGTCTTAGTAATTAACTTAAACTTAAAAGTGCACAAATGACTTAGATACCTAAATGATCGAACACATTTGTAAAATTTTATAGGTTAATGAGAAAAAGTTGTAATGTTTTGCATTTATTAATTGGATTATTTTTATTGAACCGCATAACAAAATGAAACTCCCAAAATTTGGAGTTTGTATATTTTGAGAGAAAAGCCACATTGGACTATCTGGTGTGACTACTGCAGGGACACGAACCAAGGATTCTAGTGTTGTAAGTTCGTAAACTTACCGCTGACCCATTGGGGGAACCCCAGAATTTAAAGACAGGAAGAGCATTTGAATGTAATGCATTTATTGATTAATTTATTTTAGATGATATAAACAATACTTCATAAACAAAAACAACACGAAATATATTTTGTTTATAATTTGGAAGTAAGGAAGAAATTATTTATTAACTGTTACATAGTCTTGTTTAAGTAGGCCAATAAAAATAATTACCGGAGCTGCATAAAAAAGCCTGTAAGAATAACACCTCTCTCAAAGGACGCCAGAAAAAGAAAAATATTATAAATATGGCCATTACGATCGATCGAAACTGTGAGGAATTAATAGCTGTTGATAAACCAAGGAAACAGTACCAAAAGAATAAGCCTGTAAGCCCAACCAGATCAAAGAAACAACAAAGAGTTAATCAGATGTTGGAAAAACTGGAATTGGCTGTACCCATAAACCAAAATTCAGCTGAGAATGTTTCATCTTCTCCAAATGACACAAAAGTTCATTATTTAATAAAATATTGACGAATTAATCTACATATATAAATGTTCGATCCTATTTGGTAATGAAGGATGGGAAATTGCCTTCATAGATGAAGAAAGAAGATGGATTGCTGCGAAGGGTAAGGGGCATAAAGCTCCAGCAAGACAAAAGCTAGAAGTTGCCCTTAGTGTAGGAAACTTTTCTACACCTTATGATATGTGGATAATTGACAAGAAGGAAGAATAGGGACAAAAATATTTCTGCACTACCCCAGAGGTAGAACTTCCAGTGATAACAATAAGAGCAGTGAAATACTCGAACCAGAACTTATTAGGGATGAAACTACATACACCAGTCTGACTGTGGTGTATCAGAATCAGACACTTCAGCATGTCCTACGAGATTATTGGTTGGGAGAACTCTCATGGATCTGACGAATAAAAATGTCATCATTAGGGCCTTCAACACAATATACCGTAATATGCGAGTCAAGTCTGAATGGGACATTGCAAAAGATGTGAAGCTGTACGGGTAATACTTTCAGATCAGAAAATGTCACTATTGATGTAAGATGTAGATATCAATTCTTCAAATAACCATAGCTTAAAATAACCTCACTTAAAAGAGCTATATAACCGGAGATCTTACAGTTAGTGAATGACATAGATAACATGAATTTTTTATACAGAATATACAGCCGATAAATTTCATATGTAACATGAATTGTTCACATAATATCAATATGTCTTCTCCAATAGATCTCACGACTTGAGTGGAGCAAATAAGATATTTCTCGATATTGATATTGGAGATGTAGCCACAATACGTCATTTAACCAGAAACCTCCCACTTGTAAAAAATGCTAACATTTTAAGAGAGGTAGAAGCCATGAAAGAACATAGAGTAAAAGAACCATGTAAAAGTCCATGTATTGTAATTGTGAACAAGAAGAATTGATTTACAAGATTGGGCATGGAATGGACTACAAATAAGTGAATGAAATCACAAAGAAGGATGCCTACCCACTACCAACGATTTTTCTGTTTTGAATGCTTTATCTGGATCAAAAAGGGTTTCTATATTGGAACTGAAGAGTGGATGTGGACATGTGTAAGTCGACAAAGCAAGCAGAGAGAGGACAGCTTTTACTGCAGGAGATGGATTGTAGTGGTTTATTGTGTTACAATTTGGATAATGTAATGTACCTGCTGAAGAGTTCATGTCAACAACATTTCCAGAGGATCACCAATGACAGAACCATTTGGCCATCTGTCTAGAGAGAATTCCCACAATGACAGTACAGCACATGAAAATATAAGACAACAGTCCCATCCACATACCATACTCATCAGAAACAAAAGTAACCAAAAAAGACTTACTGAATAGAGGCAGTTTAGTACATTGTTTTATTTGTGTATTAGGACTGTTCAAGAGACTTCACAATACAAAAAGGAGCTGTGTTGTAAGCTATATTTTCAATATCTTAATTTAGATGTTTGTTTGCTAGAGGAAGCTGTCATGACGTAATGGTGATACAATATCTAGAAATTTCCCTAAAGGTAAGATTTTTGTAGAATCTAGAAGCTTCCTGTGTTATGTAGAAAACGAATCCAATATAAAAATCATTGGATGAATTAAATTAGTTAATCAATTCAATGCCAGTTAGTGAGTTAGACAGTTCGATTCCGTTCATCTGTAATACGGCTTACGAATTAGTCAGCTTGTTATCGATTGAAAATTCTGTGGGTAAGTTTATAACTGAGTTAGGTAATCTACCGGCCACTCAGAATTTATTTTCAAATACTGCTTGTGAAGTTAGGCCTACCAATGAACTAAAGTTATTGATGAGATTAATGAGTTCATTCTCATTATGCGTACTGGTCATCGAATTATTTTCCCTAAATAATCCAAAAGAAGCCGTCCTACTTTCAAGAATGGTGTTAATAATGTCTTGTAATGAGAAAACAGTGCCACTTCCGCTTATTCAAGAAGAGTGGATAATTATGCCAATGAACGTGTTGATAAAATATTACATTTAAACTAATTTTATCACTAGTTGGGATCAACAATTTATCAAAAACGATTTTAAGGCTAGGTTTACATATGATTCGCTAAAACAAAAGTATTTGGAAATTAATAAATTGATTTCAATTGAATGAAAATTAAATTTGATTCAGAAAATGGTAGATTAAGAGTTCAAAGTTGATAGCCTCTGTGTTTCGCGTAAAACAGTAACTTTCAGATTACCGCTATAAGTTTTACTTCATAGAAAACCTTTGTTTCACAATGTTTGCGCAAAGCAACACAAAGTGTTATTTACGCATATACGTCTTTCTTTTTTAATTGATAGACTAAAGAGAATGTAACAAGTTAAAAGGACCCTCTTTTAACTCTCAGGCTACTCTTGTTTGACCTAAAAGTCGGATTTCACTGTCACTGAAAATGTGAGGCGCATTCTTGCTGCAACAAGTCACGAATTAGACGGGACCCAAACAATCATGTGACTTGCGTGCTAACACATTACACGTGATAGGATAAATAGATAATGGTTTCATATTTATTCAATTATTTTATGTGTTATATATTTATCATAGACTTTTCTCAAGATCTAATCAGCATATTTCTTAATCGTAGGTCCTGCGGTTGAAATACTAACTGATATTGAAATTAGAAGCTTTGGATCTATATCAGAGACTGACATGGTAAGCATTTAACAATATTGTTAAGTTTTGGATCCACCTCTGTTAACAATATTGTTAAGTAAATGAACAAGTTAATAACATGTAGAACAATGCGACTTTTGAAACACTAATGTTATTTCTTTATCGCTTATTTAATAACATTTATAAAATGTCTGAAGGTATTATTTTTTGTGTTTTATATTTGCATTCTTTCGTACATAACCATTAGAAAATCATTTTCTTTCTTCTTCTTCTCTAAAATAGTAAACACTTACCATTTAATTTGCAGATTTATGAAGTATTTACGAAATATCTAAATATCGTTTGTTTTTATTTATATTCTGGATTTTGGTTAATAGCTATTTAACACTGCTCTTCAGACAACGACTTTTCGTATAGTACTAGATATATATGAGTTAATATTAACTTATATTTTTATATTATACGCATTTCATATTTTGTATATAAACATTTTTGCTATCAAAACATGCAGGAATGTGAACCATTGGTGGCAAGAAATCAGCATTATTCTTTCTTGTTATGGTTCCATCTGTTGTTTTCTATGAACAATGAAAACAGCTACTCACTTCATAAATAGAACATAATTACATATCATCTGCTATGTTTATGTTGGATGACATCGATACAAAAGATAAACTCGTTTTTTATCACCTACTGAAAACGAGTGTATGTTTTCTATTGATGGGTGATGTTGACTAAATCACCGAGTCAACATCACCCATCAATAGAAAACATACACTCGTTTGGTATCAACAACCGAGTCAACATCACCCATCAATAGAAAACATACGCTCGTTTTGTATCACTAACCGAGTCAACATCACCATCAATAGAAAACATACACTCGTTATAAATCACCGA